CAGTGTATTGTTGGCTATTGCTACAAATATACCCCAGCGACTTAAGACTGCTTTTGTGCTCCAGGGTCACAATTCTGATCAGATCAGCCGAGATGATAATATCAGGCTTAAACATGGATTCAGAAAAACTGGATAAAATGACACAATATATAAGACAATAAAAGTAAATACCTATATAGTCATTGCATTTGCCTATGTCATAGTCCCATACTGAGATGTCAAGAGTCTTTTTGGCCAGCTCTGCATGCTTAATTTCATAGCTGAATTCCTGCAAAACAACAGTTCAAATGGCAAAGCAAGAGCAAAAGCAAAAGATCCAAGCAGAATAACAAGGCTTCAATGTTGGACCAGATTATTTAAATACACCTACAGGAAAGAGATTCAAGTGGAAAGAAACGTCAGCATTGCATTGGTGTTGCACGCTCATTTACAGCAGAATGCTTCTCCTTTTTTAATGAAAGAGCCATTTCAATTTGGGGCACTATTTTAAACATGAAGATATACTGTATATTTGCTAGTGCTGTCAGTAGATTAATATATTTCATCATGATTAATCGAATTTCAAATTTCAGCACTTTCAAAATGTGGGAGTATGAGCTTCATATTCTCGCTATATCAAGCCATAAAAGCCTGATGAATAAAATGATACAAAACATAAAACACATATGCAAACTTTTCTTTATAGATTTTTTATATATATATTTTCACTAAAGGTTCAATGCATTGTTCAATATATATTAAAAAATAAATCTGACTATTTTTCTGAGTTTTCTTATGTCAGGCTTTACAGAATTAAGTACCCTTGAAGTTTTAAGTTAATATTTCATTAATTTAACCACACATTCACATAATTTATGCCCTCAAGCAGCAAACCCACTCTGAAGGTAAAATTTACCATTTAAATGAATTGCTCATTACATTAAAAACTCTTGGCATCGAAAAATAAAAATGTGAAGCTTGTTCAAACGCTAGAAATAATGAAAATAATCATGCTACAACCTTTGATCTTATAAAGTTCCAGAGGTTTTAATCAAATTAGCCGAAGATGAATTATCACAATTAGAAGATAGGGCATTTGTAATATCATCTCATATGTATTAAGTTAGCTGAGAACGGGATCCTGAACTGAGGATTGCTCCTGAACTTAACACACCTACAAATACACAACTGTTTGAGAAATAAATAAACACATGTGTCAGCATTAGAAATGTACAACATACCTCATTAAACTCTGGGTTGAGTGTTTTCTTCTTGGTCTGCGTCTTGTTCTTCGCTTTCTTCCCCATATCAGGTTTCAGATATCTATATCCATTCATAGAAATATACAATCACATTTTTAAGCATTTGTTTTTCTTTTTAGAACAGATGTAAAAATAGTTTGTACTGTTAATATTTTATTTTTAAAAACAAAAATCTAATTTCACTGAGTCTAGAAATAATACATATCTGAGTCCTATTGCAGTAACTAATGATTAATTAAGAATTATATAATGTTTAATATTGTTTGTTAATGACTTAAAGGAATAGTTCCACCAAAAATTAAAATTTGCTGAAAATTTACTCAGGCCATCAAGATGTAGATGAGTTTGTTTCTTCATCAGGTTTGGAGAAATGTAGCATTGCATCACTTGCTCACCAATGGATGCTCTGCAGTGAATGGGTGCCGTCAGAATGAGAGTCCAAACAGCTGATAAAGACATCACAATAATCCACACCACTCCAGTGCATCAGTTAATGTCTTGAGAAGCCAAAAGCTGCGTGTTTGTAAGAAACAAATTTATCATTAACATCATTTGCGTTTACCTTACCGGTTCCATCCGGCTAATATGTGAGTCCATAATCAATAATAAAGCTTCCTTCAGTGATGAAATCCATCTCCTGTTGTCTCTCACATCAGAATCCAGCCACATATTTGTTTAGAGCTGTTTTGGACTGTTTTGGCTTGTAAACGGTGCTTGATCTTTTTCACTGGAGAAAGCAATATCGTGGATCAAATTTTAGCCGGAAGCAACGGTTTGAAGTTAAAAATGTCTTAATGTTGGATTGTTTTCCAAAAAACACACAGCTTTTGTCTTCTCAAGATGTTAACTGATGGACTGGAGTGGTGTGGATTACTGTGATGTTTTTATCAGCTGTTTGGACTCTCATTCTGACGGCACCCATTCACTGCAGAGCATCCATTGCTGAGACACTGATGCAATGCTACATTTCTCCAAATCTGATGAAGAAACAAACTCATCTACATCTTGCATGACCTTGAAGGTGAGCACAGTTTCAGAACATTTTCATTTTTGTGTGAGCTATTGCTTTAAATTATATGCGTTTCTTCTAAACATGAAATGTCGAGGTTGATAGAGAGAAACTCACATTTTGACAAAAGGATCAGAATACCCATTCGCATCCATTGCAGCTAAGTGAACACAGCGTACAACACCTACAATGAGACGACTCAGCTGACTGCTGTACATGAGGGATATCAGGATTCGTCCTCTCTCTTCCAGCTCAGATCCATCCTTCCCAGTCTATTCACACACACAAAAACAAAGCAGTGTGGATGATGAGAGAACAGGAGCGCTTACTTATTGTAGAAGCACATCATTCTATAAATAGCACATGGAGGCTAATTCATTTTGCTATTACTTGTATTTGCAGCTGATAGGCATAACAATAAACACCAAAATACACAAGATGCACAAAATAATGGAATCACTACATGAAAAAACTCTAGTGTAAAAAAAACTCTGGGTTTGGGGTTTGTGTGTCATCTGGACTAATCTGGAAACCTCTGTTAATGATACCCTTGTGAAAAAGAAGTGCAATTAATTGTACTGAATGTGCACTTAGCTGTGTACTTCGAAACTTAAAGCTACATCTAAAAAAAAACACTGTACTTGCAGATAAAATAATAAAAGGCCACTTAAGTGACTTAAAAAGAGACAATTTCATGACTGTATTTCTTAACACTTAAGCACACTTTTAGAAAGTGCAATAACGTCAAATATAAGGTTTTCATAAATCATGTTTTCATAAGCTTTTGTCGTGCTTTAAATAAGTAACATACTAAAGCACATGTAAAGTACTCTTACTTTATCATTCGAACTAATATATTATTCAGTATTACATTTAAAGTTAATCTATTTTAAATTGACTGAATTGCAGCTTCATCATTACAAATGTTTAATTATAAATACATGACATACAGTTATTACTAGAAATTACTTTAAAATCTATTTTAGTTGATCATAAATTGTACATTCAGCAGTGCATTAACCATATTTCAAAGACAATAGTAATTATGAAATTTCATATAAAGATGTACTTAAGTCCTAATTGCATTTAATATAAATTTAAACTACAATACATTCAATAGAATTGCAAATAAAGCTGAAATAAAAATATATTATTATTATTATTATTATATAATATAGGACAAAATTAAAAATGCCTTGGTAACTAACTGAAATAACACAAGTGTAAGTAAGTACTATGAAATAAAATTGAATTGAAGTTAAACAGAAATATAATTACAAAAACTATAAACTAAATTAAAACTGAATATTAAAAGGGAAAAAAAATGTAATTCCAAATATTAATAAATAATACTTTGTAAATAATCCTAAACATATATGCTTCACTAATGTTATATTATCAACTTAATCCATCATATTTTAGCTGTGGGAACAATTTTATGATGAAGATCAATAAGATAAAGCCTTCAGTTCAGTCTCAATTCATCCAGTATTGAGCTTTTGGTTTACTGTGGTGGGAAAGAATTCAATTAGACTACATTTACTTATTTTACCTGTAATAAAACATACACGCAGGGTCCCAAATTAACACTTGCAAAGCACAAAATTAATATTTACCATAACACGAATTTCCTTTCCACTAATAACTGAATCTACAGGATATTTCTCTTCAGAAATGAGAAAGTAACTATATAAGTATATGCTTTCCCCCACACTGAAACAAATCATTCATTACAGTCCAGTATCACAGAGGTTGTCAACCTATACTGTTTTAAAAACAAAATTAAAATGAGCTAACATGGATACAAATATCCCAAAACATACAACTTTAATTATGTAAATTTTTTTGAGCGTGACTTTTATGTGACCCTGGAGCACAAAACCAGTCATAAGGGTAAATTTTTCGCTGCTTGATATGTCCCGCCCTGTCTTCCTGTTTCAGTTAAAATGACGTCAACACATTGAGTAACGCTGCATGTTTCTAAGCATTTCAGGGGACCTTTAAGACTGGTTTTGTGCTCCAGGGTCACATATAAGAAAAGAAATAACCACGGCAGCTGTACTGGAGAGCAATGTGTGTGACTGAAACCTGAGGGTCTTGCGCTGCATGTCGTCGTCTGTCAGCCCGTGGTACACCAGCGTCTCATTCCAGGTTGGGTTGCGAGTGTTGCGTAGGGTCTTGGTGCGTAATTTATTTGACTGCATTGACAGCAAAGATGCTTTGTTTAACCGTCATTGCTTGAGCAGAATAAAAGAAGCTTCTAAACAAAGCTTTTGCATAAATGAGGCCCGTCTCATGAAGCTAGAGTTGACCAAACCGATCAGAATCACTTTGGAAAAGCCTGTTTCCACCACGGGATAAAAAACAACTCTTGTCTTACAATTTGCGTGCAATTTCTCAGAATTGTGAGATACAAACTTGCAGTTGCAAATTATGAAGTTTAATTCTGAGGGGGAAAAAAGTCACAATTCTGACATCTTCTTAGGAGTTTATTTCTCACAATTAATATCTCACTTGCAATTGCGTGTTATAAAGTGAGAATTGCAAGTTTATATATTGCAGTTCTGACATAGAAACACACAACTGCGAGTTTATATCACACAATTCTGAGCAACCTGCAATTTCACGTTTAAATCAAATAATTCTGAGAAAAAAGTCAGAATTGTGAGATAAAAAGTTGCAATTACCTTTTTAATTATTTTTTTATCCCGTGGCGGAAATGGGCTTACAATCAAAGTGCTACTATATAGTTTAAAATAAATTATCAAAATGTAATTGCACATGGGTTATACATTTATAGACTAATCCTGATCACTAGTCTTTACTAGATTATTCATATGTCCTTTTTCTCAATATGTAACTTGCAAATAAATGCAATAATAGATCAGCGATAATACAATTTTTATGCAGCTTAAATGTCAGAATATAATATGATATATAATAAGTTTTTATGAAGTGTGCCGTTTTGATGAACGATATGCAGGGGGTGTGGCTTTATTGCATCAGGGACATGATTGGTCGTATTGGTCCAGTTTTGTTTTGTAATCTCTTGCCCAGAACAAAACCTGCCATGTTTAGCCACGTGCATTCGTTAGTGGGATGATGAACACCAGGAAAAAGCAATCTACCTTCATGAGACTGAAAAATGAATGCTCAAACTACACTCAAAGTTAAAGTACAATATGGAAGATTTTTTTATTAAAATATCCAAAAACCACTAGAAAAGACAGTGTTATATATTTTGCTGACTTGTGTACTTACACTATCCCAAATGTTTCGAAGAATGTTTAAATCCAGAGAAATAAGCAATTTTAACTAGTGACACGGAGCGTGTC